GGGAAAGAGGATAGGCGGCTTCACGGTGCCCATTCTTAGGTTATGTAGATGGAAAATAATCCGGCTTGCTGCATTGCCCAGACTAATAATAACAGGCATCTCCTGAAGGACATTATGCTAAAGAGTATCTATTCCTTGCTCCAGACTGTCTGGAGGAGGAGGAAGGGAGAAGGAAAAGAAAAACCATACCAATGGTGAACTCATACATCTTTTAGAATGATTCATTAAATTTTAAAAGAGAATTCAGGTTAACTCTAAAGTAGCCAGAAATTTTACAGAATCAGTATTCCTCATTATCTGAACTTTCTGATCAGTCAGTATTTTAGCATACAGCTTATCATGTTAGCTTTAAAGTCTTTTTCTTTTAATGACTGTAATATATTGCACCCTTCCTTCTCCCCACCCAAGCACAGAACCAATTGAGAGAGTCATAGGGATCAGAAATATGGAAATCAAAAGGTCAGCTTCATTACTGACAAACTGGAGAAGAGCCCTTAGGTGTGGGGCAACTACAGGCTTCCTACTATAGTACCTCCAAATTAAGCAGAATGACCTACTCAGTTACGGGCAGCTGGCAAAAGTGATCCAGCCCCAGGAGCTCAGCTGCCCAGTTGAAGCCCAACAAGAGTCCAGAGGGGCTGAAATAGGCATGCCCATTGTCTCCCAACCTCCCATCCCAGGGAAGACTGTCCCAGGGAGGAGTAAGCAAGGAGGAGAGAAAGGCCAGGAGTGTTACACTAGTAAAAGGTCTCCAACATGGATACGTGAGGAATAGGGAATAAATGTTCTTCACCTGATAGCTGTTTCTAAATGACAGCAAATAAAGCTATGCTATAATTAAGCTAAGTTATTATATTTCAAGAAATCTGAAAGCAATATTAGCAAGATCTGACTAAAGATCCATCACCCCATACATGGAAGCAGCAGCCTCCATTCTCAGTGTGATGGGGGACAGTCTGAGGTGTGTTACTAGCGATAAAGCACGGACATTTACAAATGATGCCTGCTGGCTTCAGAAATTAGGGCTTGTTCAAAGTTGTCCCTATAATAACATTACTCTTACTTGCCTTATTTCATATTTACTGTCTTGAGTAGGAGAAAAAGGGAAGGGCTTATAGACAGCATTCCAGAAATTACACATAACCCAGTCTCCCTTATCTGTGAAGTGGCTCATAGTGAAGGACATTTCATGGTAGCATTAATAGTAATGGCAACTGCAAATTATTGAAATGCTTGTGAGTTGGGATTTTTATAGTTACTTCTATTTCTTTTTTATTTTATCCAGGGATTAATTCAATTAAGAAAGCAAATGGAGATTTTTTTTAAAGCATGAATATCAACATGACACATGATCAAGAATGACCCTACAAACACTTTTGGTTAATAATGACAGAATAACTTCAATAGCTGGTAAAAAGCAGACCATGTAATAAAATTTGTGAAATTTTCAAGAACTATATTAATATCATTATAAAAAATTAATGAACACAGTTCATATATCATAATTTAAACAATAAAACAGGGGAGTTTTGTTTTATTCTCTAGTGGTATGGGGTTGCTCCTAAGGAGCTGTGGTTCAAAAAAATTAGAATTCTTTTTTAAAATAAGTTGCAATTTAAAAAAGCAGATTAGGTATACATATTTATTTTTATTATAAAATCATACTGAGATTTTTAATGGTTTAATTGTTCATTTGCTTATAAAATGAATTTATAAACACTTTTATAAACAGATTCCCCCCACAAAAAGTTTATGGCATTGTTTTCCTTTACTTTCCTGCAACCAACCTCCCAAGTTGATGAGGTTTGCCAATTATGAAAATATTGTATATTATGCTCACAAATTGCTAAAAAATAAAGTATGAAAAATGAGTACTCTTCTGCCATAAAGTCCACCTCAATCCTTCTGCAGCACTATCCTCTTAGGAGAGTTTTAGGTTGGCCAAGAACAAGATTTTCCCTTAACAACAAATCAGTGCCATTGCTAGGTGATTATGACATAGGAAGAGTAACCTCCAATCAAAGAGAAGCCCCAGCAGTCTGACTGTGACCTGCCAATATAAATATGAGAGCTCCCCCTACTCTTAGGCCCTTCTCCTCTCCACTTGAAACTGATGAGGAGAACAACATCTACAATGGCCAGAACCATCACCAAAAAGAACAGGTGCTCCAGAGGACACCGAAACCCAATCTCCAGAAAGAAATCACAATTTCAGCACTGAATTTTGCCACAGAAATTATTCACTCTACATAAACAGGGTCCTAAAAGAAGTGGCTCCCCACAATGGCATATCATCTCGCACCTTGGACATGATGAATGCCATGATCAATGACATCTTTGAACGCATTTCTACGGAAGCCTGCAACCTGCTGTATTTCAGAAATCGTTGTACCCTCACCCCTGAAGATATCCAGAAGGCAGTGTATTTGCTGTTGCCTGGGAAACAGCGCTAAGTATGCAGTGGCTTTTGGAAATGAAGCTGTTCAATGGTATGTCCACTCCTAAACTCCATGTTCCAGCTTCATTAAATCTTGGGGAAAGTTAATTGAACTTACTACCCAGATGATCACTTGAATATTGAATTCATTCTTCTTTTTTATAACGTAGTCGTATTTCCTGGTATTTTCCCTATTTGTCTTACCTCTAGAGAAGAATTACTCTCTTGCTATTTTACCTTTTAACAATTTGACTACTATTTAGGTTTTCCTGACACCTGCTCCCCACCCAACTCCCATCCAGAACTCTTGTTTTTCCTATGAATATGTAAATCTCATTATATAAGTTCAATGCTTATTGTATTGTTAAGGTATTGTTAACTATGTAAAGGATGATTTAATCCAGCTCTTTTGACCCCCCAGGTTGCACTGACTTTGAATTGATGAAGACAAACTTTTTAATCAGAAGTATACCAGTGCTACTAAATTTTCATCAAAAAACTATTTTCTAGAGCAAACTACATTCAAACACTTAGTTCTTTAATGAAGTCCCTTTAGAGCATGCTAACCATTTCATTCAACAAGCTCAGTTCATATCCATGTAATTTTTTTTTTTTTTTTTTTTTTTTTTTTTTTTCCTCTCACTGTCGTGGCCTCTCCCGTTGCCGGACGCGCAAGCTCAGCGCCCATGGCTCACGGGCCCAGCCGCTCTGCGGCACGTGGGATCCTCCCGGACCGGGGCACGAACCCGTATCCCCTGCATCGGCAGGCGGACTCTGAACCACTGCGCCACCAGGGAGGCCCATATCCATGTAATTTTTATCTTTACATTTGCTTTTTTTTCAGTATGGTAGTGCACATCTGTTATTCTTCTACTCCCAATTTATCCCTCCCCTTTCCCCCCTGGTAACCATAAGTCTGTTTTCTATGTCTGTGAGTCTGTTTCTGTTTTGTAAATAAGTTTACTGTCTTATTTTTTAGATTCCATGTATAAGTGATATCATATAATATTTGTCTTTCTCTGTTGGACTGACTTAGAATGATAATCTCTAGGTGCATCCATGTTACTGCATATGGCATTATTTCATTCTTTTTTTTATGGCTGAGTAGTCTTCCATTGTATACATATACCACATCTTTATCCATTCATCTGTTGATGGACACTTGGGTTGCTTCCCATGTCTTAGCTATTGTAAATAGTGCTGCTATGAACATTGGGGTGCATGTATCTTTTCAAATTAGAGCTTTTGTCTTTTCCAGATATATGCCTAGGAGTGGGATTGCTGGATCATATGGTAACTCTAGTTTTAGTTTTTTAAGGAACACTCCATACTGTTTTCCATAGTGGCTGGGCCAATTTTTAAACTATCTTTAGATTTGGTTCACTGGAATTTATTGTTCTATATTTATAACATAAGACCATCACCCAGGAATCTGCCACTCCATTTATAAACTTTGAACTTTACAAATGTCATTGGAGATATTTCCCAATCCCATCTCCTTGTCCACTATCCTGAGTTTTGTTTCCCATTACCTTGCTTTTCTTTGTACTTTTGCTACCTATGTATACATCTCTACATAACAGGTTTAATTTTCCTTATTTTGTAACATAGGGGCCACACTACCTAGGTCCTTCTGTGTCTGCCTTTTTCTTTTAACATTGTTTCTAAGATTTATACCTGTTGTCATATATATATAGTTCTAGTTCATTCTTTTCACTCCTATACTACATAGTATTCCATAATGTGAATATACAAGTTTATTTATCCATCCTCTGTTGATGGAGATTTGTGTTGTTTTCACTTTTTTTTGCTTTTATGACCAATGCTGCTATAATGAGATGTAACAATAGCTAACACTTATATAGCATTTGCTATGCGCCCTGCATTTTACATAAATTATTTAATAGGGATGACAACCTTGTGAGGATTAAATAATTTTTCCCTCCTACAGATGAGGAAAATGGGGCACAGAGAAATAAGTAGCTGTCTAAGGTCACATACCTATGTAAGTGGCAGAGCTGGGATCTGACCAGGTTGACAGAGTCCACTGTGAACACATGCTACATGCTGTAAACATTCTTGTACATATATCTTCTGGTACAAATGCACAAAAATTTTTCTAGGTAAAATACCTAACAGTGGAATTGCTGGGTCATTGATATGCCTGTATTCAACTTTGCTAGATGTTAACAGACTCTCTTCCAAAGCGTTTGTACCAATTTACATTTGCAGGAAATGAGAGTAATTTAGATTCTTCTGGTTACAAGGAACATATCACTGAAGTTTCCTCAAGAAAAGGGGGTTTCCTGTATATACTGGGATTGGAACTGAGACTATTCTAGGTGTCTGTCACTTAGGACCTATTCTCTGTTTTTCCTGGGGTTGCTCACTTCTAAATGCTTCCTTCTCAGAGTTCCAGGAAATAGACATGACAGGCCTATTCAATTCCACTTATATGAAGTACCACAATAAAGTTTTTTTAATTTAAGCAGGTATTTTTATATGCATGCCTTTATATAACCAGACTCGAAACCATCCGATTTGAGTTAGGCCCTGACAGAGGTTGCTTGCCACCCTAAAGATTGGCTGACCATGGTTAGATGCCCACATCTGCCACTCTGCTGGGGGTTGGCATTAGAAGGGCTTCAAAGTTCTATCTGGGATCTGCAAATTACAGCCCTTGGGTCAAATCTGGAAGCAGCCCTTTTTTGTTTGACCCCCACATGCTACGAAAGGTTTTTACATTTTTATAGTGATATTTAAAAGGAAAAAAAAAGAATATTCAACAGGCATAATGTGACCCACAAAGCCTAAAATATTTACTATCTGGCCCTTTACGGAAAGTATCTAGTCTATACGATGCTGCTCCTTTTTTGCAGGGTCTGTGATACAGCAGGTTTTCTAAGGCTTTGCTTGGGACACCTCTAACTCTATAAAATAAAGTTCACAAGAATAAAAAGTTTATAGTTGGCTTTCAAAACACTGGACTAAAGAGAGTACATAATTGGGGCAATGGATTAATTATTCAGAAAAATGTTTTATTATAAATTGAGGTGTTAAAGTTGGCCTTACTTTAAGGAAAGTAGGGGGTTCCCCATATATTATTCCCTCTTTGTGTATGTTTTGAAACATTTTAACAGAATCTCAAAATAAGATCAAGATTCTTGGCAAAAATTCTGGAATTGGTTTCAAGTCTGATGATATAAATGCATGTGTGTATAAGAATACACATTTTTAAAATTTTAAAATGATTTTTTAGTGTGGTAAAATATATATAACATAAAATTACCATTTTAATCATTTTTAAGTGTACAGTTCAGTTACATTAAGTACATTCACATTGTTATACAACCATCACCACCATCCATCTTTAGAACTTTTTCATCTTCTTTCATCTATCTTCTCTAGGTACTTCCTATAAGTGGAATCCAACAACATTTGTCTTTTTGTGACAGGTGTATTTCACTTAGCATAATGTCTTCAAGATTCATCCATGTTGTAACATATGTCAGAATTTCCATTCTTTTCAAGGCTGAATAATATTCTGTTGTATATGTATAACACATTTTATTTATACATTCATTCATTGATGGTCACTTGGGTTACTTACACCTTTTGGCTATTGAAAATAACGCCACTATGAACATGAGTATACAAATATCCCACATTAGGTATATGCCCAGAAGTGGAATTGTTAGATCACGTGGTAATTCTATTTTTAAATTTTTGAGGAACCACCATACCCTTTTCCACACAGCTGTTCCATTTTACATTCCCATCAGCAATGCACAAGGATTCCAATTTCTCCACATCCTCATCAACCCTTATCTGGCTTTGATTTTTATATATAATAGCCATCCTAATGGATGTAAAGTGTTTTTATTTGCAGTTCCCTAATGATTCGTGATGTTGAGCATATTTTCATGTGCTTATTAGCCATTTGTACTTTGTCCATTTTTTAACTGTTTTGTTGTTGTTAAGTTGTAGAAATTCTTTTTATATATTCTGAATATTAATCCCTTCTCAGATATTTCTCCTGTTCCATGGGTTGCCTCTTCACTTTGTTGATAGCGTCCTTTGATATAAAAGGTTATTACTCTTGATGATGTTCAATTCGCCTATTTTTCTTTTTGTTGTTCATGCCTTTGGTGTAATATTTCACTTTATATTTGTATTGCTCCTTTATGAGAAAATTATTTGCAACATTAATAATATATATATATTATTTTTTGCTTGTCTTTATGGAAATGAGGCTAGCCCTTATTTTATGGTTTTTGATTTTGTTTTTTTTTAATTTTATTTTTGGCTGCGTTGCCGTGTGCGGGCTTTCTAGTTGCGAGGAGTGGGGGCTACTCTTTGTTGAGGTGTGCAGGCTTCTCATTGCAGTGGCTTCTCTCTTTTTTTTTTTTGTACGTGGGCCTTGCACTGTGTTGTGGCCTCTCCCGTTGCAGAGCACAGGCTCCGGACGCGCAGGCTCAGCGGCCCAGG